ATTGATGTTGACTGAGTTTTCCAGCAGCAGTAGTAGGGGTAGCACTGATGCTGATTGAGTTTTCTAGAGGCAGTAGTAGGGGTAGCACTGATGTTGATTGAGTTTTCCAGCAGCAGTGGTAGGGGTAGTATTGATGTTGATTGAGTTTTCCAGCAGCAGTAGTAGGGGTAGTACTGATGCTGATTGAGTTTTCTAGCAGCAGTAGTAGGGGTAGTACTGATGTTGATTGAGTTTTCCAGCAGCAGTGGTAGGGGTAGTACTGATGTTGATTGAGTTTTCCAGCAGCAGTAGTAAGGGTAGCACTGATGCTGATTGAGTTTTCCAGCAGCAGTAGTAGGGGTAGTACTGATGCTGATTGAGTTTTCTAGAAGCAGTAGTAGGGGTGGCACTGATGCTGATTGAGTTTTCTAGCAGCAGTTGTAGGAGTAGTACTGATGCTGATTGAGTTTTCTAGCAGCAGTGGTAGGGGTAGCACTGATGCTGATTGAGTTTTCTAGAGGGTAGTATTGATGTTGACTGAGTTTTCCAGCAGCAGTAGAGGTAGCACTGCTGCTGGGATTGAGTTTTCTGTAGCTGGTAGTAGGGGTAGCAATTGATGTTGATTGGAGTTTTCAGCAGCAGTTGTAGGGGCAGTACTGATGTTGACTGAGTTTTCCAGCAGCAGTAGTAGGAGTAGCACTGATGCTGATTGAGTTTTCTAGCAGCAGTCGTAGGGGTAGTACTGATGCTGATTGAGTTTTCTAGCTGGGTAGTAGGGTAGTATTGATGTTGACTGAGTTTTCCAGCAGCAGTAGTAGGGGTAATGATGCTGATTGAGTTTTCTAGGAGGCAGTAGTAGGGTAGCACTGATAAGTGATTGGAGTTTTCCAGCAGCAGTGGTAGGGTAGTATTGATGTTGATTGAGTTTTTCCAGCAGCAGTAGTAGGGGTAGTAATTGATGCTGGATTGAGTTTTCAAAGCAGCAGTAGTAGGGTAGTACTGATGTTGATTGAGTTTTTCCATGCAAGGCAGTGGTAGGGGTAGTACTGATGTTGATTGAGTTTCCACAGCAGTAGTAAGGGTAGCACTGATGCTGATTGAGTTTCTTCCAGCAGCAGTAGGGTAGTATTGATGCTGATTGAGTTTTCTAGAAGCATAGGGGTGGCAATCGATGCTGATTGAGTTTGTTGTGCTAGCAGTAGTAGGGGTAGCACTGATGCTGATTGAGTTTTCTAGCAGCAGTAGTAGGGGTAGTACTGATGCTGATTGAGTTTTCTAGCAGCAATAGTAAGGGTAGCACTGATGCTGATTGAGTTTTCTAGCAGCAGTAGTAGGGGTAGTACTGATGTTGACTGAGTTTTCCAGCAGCAGTAGTAGGGGTAGCACTGATGCTGATTGAGTTTTCCAGCAGCAGTAGTAGGGGTAGTACTGATGTTGATTGAGTTTTCCAGCAGCAGTAGTAGGGGTAGTACTGATGTTGATTGAGCTTTCCAGCAGCAGTGGTAGGGGTAGTACTGATGTTGATTGAGCTTTCTAGCAGCAGTGGTAGGGGTAGTACTGATGCTGATTGAGTTTTCTAGCAGCAGTAGTAGGGGTAGCACTGATGCTGATTGAGTTTTCTAGCAGCAGTAGTAGGGGTAGTACTGATGCTGATTGAGTTTTCAGCAGCAGTTGGCAGGTATGATACTGATGCTGATTGAAGGTTTTCTTAGCAGTGGTAGGGGTAGCACTGATGCTGATTGAGTTTTCTAGCAGCAGTAGTAGGGTGTGCAGTGCTGATTGAGTTTTCTAGCAGCGGTAGTAAGGGTAGCACTGATGCTGATTGGAGTTTTCTAGCAGCAGTAGTAGGGTAGTACTGATGTTGACTGAGATTTTCAACAGCAGCAGTAGTAGGGGTAGTACTGATGCTGATTGAGTTTTCTAGCAGCAGTAGTAAGGGTAGCACTGATGCTGATTGAGTTTTCTAGCAGCAGTAGTAGGGGTAGTACTGATGTTGACTGAGTTTTCCAGCAGCAGTAGTAGGGGTAGTACTGATGTTGATTGAGTTTTCCAGCAGCAGTGGTAGGGGTAGTACTGATGTTGATTGAGTTTTCCAGCAGCAGTAGTAAGGGTAGCACTGATGCTGATTGAATTTTCCAGCAGCAGTAGTAGGGGTAGTACTGATGCTGATTGAGTTTTCTAGCAGCGGTAGTAGGGGTAGTACTGATGTTGACTGAGTTTTCTAGCAGTGGTAGTAAGGGTAGTACTGATGCTGATTGAGTTTTCTAGAAGCGGTAGTAGGGGTGGCACTGATGCTGATTGAGTTTTCTAGCAGCAGTAGTAGGGGTAGCACTGATGTTGACTGAGTTTTCTAGCAGCGGTAGTAAGGGTAGCACTGATGTTGACTGTGTTTTCTAGCAGTGGTAGTAGGGGTAGTACTGATGTTGACTGAGTTTTCCAGCAGCAGTAGTAAGGGTAGCACTGATGCTGATTGAGTTTTATAGCAGCAGTAGTAAGGGTAGCACTGATGCTAGTTGAGTTTTCTAGCAGTAGTAGTAGGGGTAGTACTCATGTTGATTCAGTATTTACTAGTCCAGGCACTAAGCCAAGTGCTTTATAGACATTATCTCATTGAATACACAGTTCCATGAGGTGAGGTGGGTTTACTGCTTTCCCCATTTTAAAAATAAGTAATTTAAAACAAAAATAAGAAATTTGCTCCAGGTTATTCAGTTTGGTAGCAGGTGGATTTGCCTCAGATGAGGGGAGCCCGGGTCGGAGGACTTTACCACCACACAATTTTGTCTCCCTGCTCCCTGGGTAAGAGCCAAGGTTCCTGCATTGGGAGGTCTTAGGTGAAAATGAATCAACAACTATTTACTGGGCCAGGCTCTATGTCTTAACTTGTCTTAAATGTGCTCAGCTCCTTGCCCTTCGGAAGGTGAGTGATCTTGTAAAAGAATTCCACATCCATATTCAGGTGTGTGTCATCCCCAACCACAGTATCCTCCAGCCATGAAGCAGAGGCCAGTACAGGGAGCACCCAAAGCGAATGGAATCTGCACTGGTGCCCCTCAGCCCTTAGGTGTCTGCCCACCCCTTGCTCTGGCCACAGGTGTAGCTGGACCTGAACAGGGGATCTGCTCTCTGCAGGCCGTGGGCAGCAGTCCCTGAGGAGTGTCCATAGAGGTAGTGCCAGGAATGTGAAGTACAGACGTGCCCTGAAGCAAACTAACCCTGTGCACCTTGGTGATCTTTGCAGCTACTTCCTGAGCACGGAGGACCTGCCTCGGAGACGACAGCTCTACAGGTAGCTCTGGCTCCCCCTGCACACAGGGTTCTCCCCCTTAGGAGGGCATCCAGGCTTTGCAGAATTGCACTTTTTCAGCAGTTCAGAAAGGGGGGCCAGCAAAGACAGACCCCACCACAGAGGAGTAGCTGTGGAGTCCGGAGCAAAGTAATGACACTTGCAGAGGCCACCAAAGGGGTCGTTTTGAGACTTTTGAAGCTTTATTTTTCTGCTGTTGTTGACTTGGATTTTCCTCATCACTCACTTGCCTCTTCTGCTAATGGATGGACTTTTAGCCATCTTTCCTTTCACCTCTATTCAGTGCCACCTCAGAGGAACTCTGCCCCCTCCCCATACTGAGTTTTTGTAGGGAGCAGAGTGTGGTTTGGAAATGAACCAGTGGGTCAGTGCGAGGAGCCAGCCCTGCTGTCCGGCATTGCAGCTTGCTGGCTTTGGGGACCTCTGGCCTGAGGAAGACAGGAGGCATGATCTTGAAGCTCCTCAATTTGGAAACAGTCTAAAGTTATTTGGGATCAGGGTAAATGAATGAAATTTGATTAGAAAGAAAAATATTAATCACAAATATTCTATGGCTATAAAGTAGAAGACTCATATTTATGATGAGGCCCCAAAGACAATTTCCCATCTCAACAGCCCAACTGTGTGACTTTGGACAAGCTTCCAAATCTCAAAAAGGACAGGGACACTGTGCCCTGAACTCTGGAGGGGGACTGGGTGTTTTGTAGGGCGTGTCCCTCTTCTACATTTAGTCCTGTCATCTGCCCAGTCACTGTTCTCACTAAAGGAGGCTTTGGGTTGTGAAGTGAGATTAGCCCTGGGCCCTTTCTACCAGGGCCACAGAGGGGAGGAGCGGGTGTCTGCTGCCTCCCCGTGCCCCTGCATAGGAGGACTGCAGCCAGTCACACCTAAAGACACCTGAGCCACTGAAGAGCATGTTGTTCAGGGCAGACCTGAGGCTTGAGGCCAGTGGCACATGGTCTAAATGGAGCCAGTGCCTGTTACCCCTACCCCACTGCTGGGACATGGAAAGCCTCCCTGGTGAACGCAACCTCCCTTCCCAGCCATTGGCAGCTATGTGGAGAGGATGAGGTCAGCATGAGGGAGCCAGTGGAGGGAGAGTCACAGATGTGCTTCTCTGTGTAGATGTTCCGTCATCGCCACATGTCTACTAGGAAAACTGAAATCCACATGTCACCAGTTAATAAACGTGAGAGGCTGCCTGGGGCCCCATCCTCTAACTTACAGAATGAGAAGGTTGTCTTCTCTCTCCCATGAAATGTCTTTACTCCTGGAACAACAGTCTTCATATTGAAATCTATGGTTAGAGGGGACCCTCCCGGGGCAAAATGTTCAGATAAGAACTTCTTCCAGGTAGATCCAGTACCTCAGGATCTTTCCATTTTAGGGAGCACATTTTAGGCCTTCTTGACTTGAAATGACCCTTGACCACAGTGGTCCCGGGTAACATCTTCAAGCCAGTTCCCACTTGCCTAGCTCCATTGAATGGGAAGCGCGAGCTCTTGCGGTTTCACTCTGTCAGGGGACGTGGCTTTTGGAAGCTGCCAGAGTTCGGTTCCACTGGTGCTGCTGCAGCCCCTGCCTGCTCACATGCCAGCGTTTGGAACTCCAGAGAGTTTGAAGATACGTCACCCTGTTTACTCTTCTCAAATTGCTAGCCATCCACTCAGAGAGACAGGACACGTGCAGATAGAGTGCTAGATCATAACGCCGACAGCTCCATGCTCCTCGCACCAGGCCATCTGCAGAGCCGGGAGAAGGCAGCTTAGGTGACCGCCTGCCGGCCCTCCCACAAGCAAGGGTGCTGAAAGCTCTCGAGAGTGGGAGGGACCCACCGGCAAAGAAAGGTGGAAATGGAACTGGGTGGTCTCAGGGGCTCCAGCAGGGAGACAAATGGAGAAAGGCCAAGGGAACCTGTAGCAGGGCTCTGCAGATCACCCCCATGGGGAGAGCCCAGCAGCTTGCGGCACCAGCGTGTAGGGCGGCTCCTCTCCGCTCACATACACACCTGTGTCCTTTGCTCTTCCAGTGCCAACACGGTGGGTAACTTCAACAGGCAGTGCCTCTCCTGCGACCTGGTTGAGAACTGCACCTACTTCAGCGCTTCCTTCAGCCACAGCATGGACTTCTTCCTGCTCAAGTGCGAAGGTCAGCTCCTGCCACCCCGTCAGGGCAGAGATCCCTGGCAGGCACATTTGCAGGGAGGGGTGGGCACACTTGCAGGGAGAGGGCAGCAGCTGTGGTGGGAGCACAGCATATTCCAGAATAGGTGAGGATCCCGCCTACCTGGTAACATTGCTCAGGTGGTGAGATGACTGGACCCCCACAAATCCTGGGGCAGTGGGACTACTTTACGTTTCATACAGGGGTACAGCTTATCAGAGTGGTCCGTGCACACTGTGCTGGTAATCTCACAGTTTGTCTCCCATCGTCCACAAAAAATAATGGTCCCATGAGCTAGGTGGGGTAAATATCCTACACAGTGATGAGCCTAAGTCATCAATAAAGGTAGTAAAACAATTTCAAAGGTTAACTTTTCAATCATATTTAAGGATGATCAAATATTACCAGGCATGGTGGCTCACGCCTGTAATCCCAGCACTTTGGGAGGCCAAGGTGGGCAGATTCACCTGAGGTCAGGAGTTCGAGACCTGCCTGGCTAACATGGTGAAACCCCATCTCTACTAAAAATATGAAAACTAGCCAGGCATGGTGGTGAATGCCTGTAATCTCAGCTACTTGGGAGGCTGAAGCAGAAGAATCACTTGAACCTGGGAGGCGGAGGTTGCAGTGAGCTGAGATTGCACTGCTACACTCCAGCCTGGACAACAGAGTGAGACTCCATCTCAAATGACCAGATAAGAAAAAAGGATTGAGGTTATGTTAAAGAAGTCTCAGAAAAATAGTTTCCTATGTCCCAATTCATTGATAATTTATCCCAAACTGCAAGAGTTTGATCACACCAACCAGTATGCACAAAAGAGTAGCCATGTTGCATACAGGATACAAAGGATACTTTTGTTGCTTGTCCGTATCTTGGAAAGATATGATATGAATCTATGGAAAGGTAAGTCATAAATATGGTCTTAACAAAATATGATCTCCTGTGATGACTTCAAAGAATGAAAATATGCTACAGGCAGAGACTGAGTTCAGGAGCAATTCACTCCTCAGTTAGAGTTTCAATGCCCTAAGCCATAGGTGGAGAACGAATAACTTTTATCAGAGAAATGTCTTCGCTAGCCTTTGCTAGCTACTGGAGAGCTCATGGCTTCATGACTTTGTTCTCTTTTTATCAGTGTCATCCAAATTCTTGAAAATCCACAGAACAGGAACACTCAGCCGCTTGCTCTACACAAGCTCAGCCCCTGATATTCTTCTAAGACAGCGAGGAGACCACAGAGGCATGAGGGGGGTGCATCTGAAATATAATGTTAGTGCCCCAGTTCCTTCAAAGTTGATGGTACCAAATTCCTCTTTCCTGTGCGTCCCAAGAAAGAGGGCACCAAGGGTCTGAAATTATAGAGTGCTGTAGGGGAAAGAACCTAAGATCTAACTGACCCACTTCATGTAACAGATGGCAAACCCTAAGCCAGAAGTTGAGTGGATTCCCTGATTCCCGATGAGCCAGTAATACAGAGAGGGCCAGCGTCAAGGTCTCCCAGTTCCTAGCCCAGTGACTCCTGTCTCCCTGGGGTGGGATCTTTGTAAAATAAGAACTTGGGAAATTATAGGGATTGACGGGGCATAGGGATTGGGAAAACTGGCAAGCAAACCCACTAGGAGCCAGAGAGTCTTAGAAAGAGCTACATAATCAGAAACCAGAATCCTGTCTCAGAAGCAGGAGGTAGCTTCAACACACAGGAGGTCATGATCAAACACAGATGTGAAAAATTGAAGGAGATTTCAAGAAGAGTGCCCCCAAGCAACAATGGTTGAATGAGAAAGGTGACAGAGCCTCCATCGTGGAGATCCTGAATTAGGGGCAGAGGTCATTTGCCAGAGGGGCTTGGTCTGGCCTCAGCAGGAGGCAGAGCCTTTGGGATCTGAGGTCTGCACTGGTCAAGACAGCAACAGTATGGATTTGTATTTCCTAAATTCTTACTATAACCAGCAAGAAGGGTCTGGCTTCTCACCATTCATGGAAAGAAGTCAAAAGAATAATGAGTTGTGATATGAAGGAGCAATATTTCTTTATTATCTGTGCCAGCAAGGGGAAGCGCAGAAAGCAATTCCACTCTTCAATTTGTGGAGGAAATACAGGGTTTCTTTTAAAAAAAAAAAAAAAAAGAAAGAAAAAGAAGGATTTGGAATGCAGAAGAGCTTGGGGGGTTAGGAGGCGCCAAGGGGTGTGACTGGCTGTGGTGGCCCCTCTTTAATTATTGTCTCATTTGGTGAAGGGGCTGGCACCTCGTGGATCCTACCAGGTTATCAATTAATCACAGTTGGCCTTGTACTCACTCTTCAGCCATGAGTGGGTTTCAGCCTTGAAGTACATCTTTTGTTAAAGAAAGAATTCTGGAGGTATCTGGGTCCTATCGGGATCTGACCCCTGGAGGTTTTAAGGAAATACATGAGCAGATAAGAGAGCACAGTGTGTGCTCCGCAAGCATCTGGGTTAATAAATGTGCATAAGGCATGAGAGCATAGAATGGGAAAAGAAAGGGAGTGGAGGCCACAGCCCATTCTGAGGCTGTGTTTCAAGATGAAAGGTAACACATATGCAGCTTGTCTCAAGGTGGTATCTTGACACTGGGAGAAGGTAGAAGAGGAGAGGAGAAAGAAAAAAAGTTTAAATCATGATTTGAGGCTGAGCTGCTCGGTCATATTCCTACCACATACTAACTTCTGCTCCACATGGTGACCCCCCCAGACTCCAGAACCCAACAGCTCACTTGTTGTGTTGTTTGAGATGGAGTCTCGCTCTGTCGCCCAGGCTGGAGAGCACTGGTGTGATCTCAGCTCACTGCAACCTCCGCCTCCCGGGTTCAAGCGATTCTCCTGCCTCAGCCTCCCAAGTAGCTGGGATTACATGGATATATAATTTTTATATTTTTAGTAAAGACAGGGTTTTGCCATGTTGCCAGGCTGGTCTCACACTCTTGGTCTCAAATGATCCACCTGCCTTGGCCTTCCAAAGTCCTGGGATTACAGGCATGAGCCACCTCGCCTGGCCCTTGTTAATGAACCCTTTCCCCACTTCCCTTTGGAGGTCGCAGCTCCCTGCTAAGTTCAAGCTCAAGTTTAGTCTGGATGCCTCATTCTGACAACTGGAAGCCTTTTATGGTTCAGTTTCCATAAGCTGCAGCCCTAGGTTGAAATCAAAAAGGCTCTCCCAGGAGATCCATGGCGACGGATTTAGGCAGGGAAGTTCCAGTTCTCACATGGCAGATGTAAACATGGAACCCGAGGTAGATAGAAACACAGCCCCGTGTTGGGATGCTGTTTGGACAAACTGTTAAAGTTTAGAGAGCACTGTAGGGTGGCTCCTGTGCAGATTTCTAGTCTGCCACTGGCCTTCTGTCCCCGGGGGAGATTCGTGTTTCTTTGTATGTTTATGTATTTGCAAGGCTTGTGTTGTGATCTGCAAATAGTTATTGTGAAGAGATGACTCCATAGTTGATACCTGGGAGGACAAAAGAAGCAAAGAACAAGTACAGCAACACAAGGTCAGACATACAACTGACCCAGCCCCCAGGTACAGCCACACTGGGTCACACACACAACTGACCTAGACCCCAGCTACAGCCACACTGGGTCACATACACACAACTGACCTAGACCCCAGCTACAGCCACACTGGGTCTCACACACACACACAACTGACCTAGACCCCAGGTATAGCCACATTGGGTCATGCACACACATGACCGACCCGGGCCCCAGGTACAGCCATACTGGGTCACACACACACTACTGACCTGGCCCATTTGGCACCTCCACCATCTCACCTTCAGATAGGATGGGATGCTCCTCCTGCCAATGCCTGAATCCCTATAATAATCAAACAGATTCCTAAAATTTGAAGATAAGAATAGATCTCAGAGCATCTAATCCAGTCTCCACCCTGCCTTTCTTTTGTTGATTAAGAAACTGAACTCTTAGTCATTATGAAATTATCACCTTAGGGTTCCCTGAATCATTTAAGATCTGTTTAAATATTTAGCCTGTTGCCTCATCTTAAGGTAGACGTAAACTAGCCTTCTTCTCTACAAAATTGCTCTTTAAAATGTTTACATAATAAGCTATTTTCTGGCTAAAGTAACTTGAATGCCCAAATTAAACTCTCCCCATAGAGGTAACCAAAATCCCACTTATAAAAAGAGATTTTCCGAAAAGGCTTAAATTTACAAAGACGGCAAAGTAAACAGGGCAACAGTAGCAGCCAACTCTGAACCTGGAAGCAGTTACCAGTGATAACTGCCTCAGCAGACCCTGAAGCTGAGCCTCGTCCTGCCATGGGGAAAGCTGAGCAGGCGTTGTCGATGATTGCCTAAGGGATGAGATGATCCATTGCTATGAAACCTTAAAGGAGGAAATGATGTTACCCATTTGGATTGCTTGGGGCATTTTTCTGGAGAAGACTCCAGGAAGTTATCAATGATGAGGTGGCATTTAAAACAAATGAGTAGGTAGGATTTGGAATGTGAAAAAGCAGCCCAAGTGAAAGGTACAGCCTGAGAAAAAGCACAAGAAATGTTCTAAGATTATGTGATGGAATCTTTTGCAGCATGTGAATCAGGATCAAGTGAATACAAACAACCTGATTTAATAAATAAAGATAATTTAAAATAATTGTATTTTTCTCCACATTTCTCAGTAGATGTTAAAATGGACCCAGATGTGTAGTCTAGAGCAATGTTGAGTCAATGCTCATTTCCTGTCCTGTTTCCTTCACACCCCAAGTTATTCTGAGAGATTCTTGGAAACATGTGACAAAAATAACGTCTCCACTCCTAGCATTAGAGACTCTTGTTTTCTTCTCCTTCCCTCCTCCTGCAGCATTTTATTATATAAATTAACTTAATCTTCTACTTGCAACCAGAACCAAAAAATTCCTTCCTTTTTTAGGTTGAGGATAAATGTACTGGCAATGAGAGGCTTCTCTTTGGTAAAATCTGTAAACATGCCCACATTCAAAGCCGTTC